CCTGAGGTCACTGGGTGAGACCCACCTGGCTGGCACACTTGTTGGTGCCCATTTGCAGGCTGATGGTTGAGTGGTCCATGGGTGGCAGGATATGGTTTTTGGGGTCGTACAGATGTCTTCTTGTGCCATAGGCCGTCATGCCTGACTGGCTGGCACACTTGTTGGTACCCATCTGCAGGAAGGCAAGCAGGAGAGGTCAGACTGCCCCAAACTCAAGGGAACACTGGGTGGGTCAGGGCCTGGGTCACAGCAGAATCCTCCCCACACACAGCAGGCTGTGGTGCCCACCTGAAGCCCGATGACACACTGGCCTGCCTTCATGGTAGCATCATCAAAGTTCCGCTCCTGCTTCTCCGAGTACTTGATACCAATGTCCACGCCACTCTGCAGCCCCTTTGTCTTGGCCTGGAGGGAAGGGGGGCTGGGAGTATCAGGGAGGGACAGCTGGGACCCTTGAACCAGTCCGAGTGTATGACCCTGGAGACACGGGGATTGGGCTGCAACCTGGTCCCTTTGCCTGCTGCCCAATGCCTTAGCTGTCTGATTCAGAGGTCCTGTTGGTCCCCAGCCTTCCAGTTGCTCAGGCCAAGCATTCTGGGGGGTGTCCTTGCCACTGCTCTTTCATCTTCCATTATCTTCTACCCAACTCTCACTGTTGCCTATTCAGGCCATGGCCACCATCTCTCACTTAGACACCTGCCCCTGGCTCCTCTCTGGTCTCTCTGTCCCCAGTTCTCATGGTGCAGCCACAGGCGGCTCTTGAAAACACTATTCAGAACACAATTCCTGACATGAGAACCTCTTCCCTATCCCAATATCAGGGCCTTGATCTTCTTTCCTCTGGAAACACTGTTCCAACTTACCCTGGTCTCTGTTTAAGGGTCACTAGACCTCACATATTGGTCTAATTCTTTCTTCTCCCTCCAAGTGTGTCTCACAATCTATGACTTATAACTTACAAAAAAATGACTTGAAGAGGGAAGCCTCATGTAAACTCTGGACTCTGGGTGCTGATGAGGTGTGCTTGGTGGTTCAATGGTAACAAATGGTTCAAACTCCAGTGAGGTTGTGGATGGTGGGGGAGGCTGTGCATGAGCTGGGGTGGGCATGGAGCATATGGGAAATCTCTATAGCTTCCTCTCAATTTTGCTGTGAACCTAAAAATGCTCTAAAATAAAGGTTGTTTTTCTTAATTAAAAATAATGTTTTATTGTCTGCTTCCTCCATCAGACTGTGAGCCTATTAAAGGGTGGACTATATCTGTTGGCATCTGTAAATCTGCAGCGTCTTTGCTGTGTGGCTTTGGGCAGGTCGCTGCCCCTCTCTGGGACTCACCTTCCCTGCCAGAGCCAGAAGCGACACTTGAACCTGTGTCATGTTTCCACTCTCAAACAGGTCATTGGCCTCGAACAGGTCCACGGAGTTCATGCCGTAGCTGACCATGGCCTTGATGAAGTTGGAGAGGTTTTCTAGCTGGGAGGAGGCAGGAAAGGGGCTGTGAGGGAACCTCAGGCTGCCCACAGGTTAGATGGGGTCTCCCAACCCCATCCTTACTCCACCCGACAGTCCCTCACCTGGTGCCAGTTTTGCATGGAGCGGTTGATCTTGGGGACTGAGCCAGGCTGCAACTTATTCATGAGTCTGGGGGGAAGGGACACATAGGTGGGGAGGAAACAGGAACTTTTATTAGCATAGGTGAACCCAAATCTCACACACCCAAGAGGCTAATTCTAATCTTGGCCACCTTCCTGGACAACCTCACTGCCTCTTTCTGGGCCTTAGTTTCTCCTCTTGCAATATCATCTTCACCCACAAAGCAAAGATGCTAAAGAGTGACAATAACGAGTATTGAGAATATAATCCAGAACCCCTGATTTCTGGGAGTGAATCTGGGAATTTCCATTCACATTTGTAACGTGCAAACCTTGGAATGTTTGAATTACAGTTGAATAGGATGCAGCAGAAGAAAGGCCTCCAAAAACTTTAAAGGCTCTCCCATGAAAAGAAGGGCATAAGACAAGGATGCTCCCTGTTAAGAGATCCTCGACAAAGCAATAACACAAGAAAAAAAAGAGAAAGACACAAGACTCATTGAGGGAAAAGCAAGCAGGCTTCAAATGGCACGTGGAGCATGACCACATTGTGCAGGACAATCCGGATGAGAAGCATTTGCCAACACCCGCACTCACGTGCACAGGATAATTCCATCCTTCAGACCCTTTTGGAAGTCGGGACCGATAGACAGTCCTGTGAGTCCCTCGATCCAGCTGCGGAGTTCCTCCTCCTTTTGAGGGTCATATTTGGACAGAAGCTGGAGGAGGAGAGGGCACAGGATTGGGATGAGAATACACCCAGTAGAAGTTCTCTGAAGCTCCTGATGGGATGAGGCTGGTGGCTCCATGGGAAAAAAGAGACAGAGTGGTCTAGAGGACTCCACACTATGGAGCTGACCATCCCCTTTTCCCACCAGAAGGGACACTCATAGGCACAGATAAACCACCCTCCCCAGACACACTCATATCTCTCACTAACAAACATTAGCTGTAACCCACTTCCAATGGTGCCAAACCCCACATGGCAGCCAAGAAGGCCCCCACAGATCTGCCCCCCATCCCACGACCTCTCATCTCCTTGCTCTACCTGTACTATAGACAAACCTTTTTGTTTCCACTTCCTGTCTCTGTGGATTTGCCTGTTCTGGACATTTCACATAAATGGGGTCATACACTATGTGGCCTTTTGTGTCTGGCTTCTCTCACTGAACATCAAACATTCAAGGTCTATCCATCCATGTTGTAGTGAGTGTCAGCGCCTCAGCCCTTTCCATGGCTGAGTAATATTCCACTGTGTGGATGAAGAACATTGTGCATATCCATTTACCCATTGATGGGCTAAATTTAGGCTGTCTCTACCTCTTGGCCATTGTGAATCCTGCTGCTAGAAATATCCATGTACAGGTTTTCTTAAACACCTATTTTAATTTGTTTGGGTACATATCTAGGAATGGAATTGCTGGATCATGTGGTGATTCTGTTTAACTTACTGAGGAACCACTAAACCATTCTCTGTGCCTTGAACTGGCCATACCAGTTACTGGCTTATGGCCTTTGCACGTGCTGTCACTTTTGACTCTGATGTTTGCATGACTGGGTCCCTGTCTTCCACCCAGTCACAGCTTGAAGAGGACTTGAAGAGGACTTCCTCTCCTTGGAGAGGACTTCCCTGATCATGCTAACTTTGATGGCTCTCCTCATACCCCTCTCCCTGACCCTGCCTTATTTTCCTCATAGCTTTTATCTCCACTTTCTGTTAAGATACAGCTTCTTGCTTATGATCCATCCCCTCTTGAGCTTTGCCATCCAGCTCAGTGCTGTTTCTGGATAAAGGTGCTCCCAGTCCCCATCAGTGCACACCTATTGCCCACAAGCGCACACACACACCCCATTCCCTGTGGTAGCATCTCAGAGCACTGAAGGCTGAGAAAGTCAGAATGGTTGAAGCCCAGGGAGCTCCAAGAAGTCAGGGAGACGCAGGCCAATATGGGCAGAGTTGGTCAACCCCAGGGCAGCTCCTTGGAGGTGGTAAAAAGTCGAGTCCAGCTCCCATTCAGGACCAGACTGTCCCATTGGGTGCATTTTTTGCTCCAGACCCCCTGCCCACCTTTGCTCACAGGTCCCCATTTGGGAGGACCTTTCTTTTCCTCTCCTCCCATCCCCCAGGGGATTGAAACCTTCTGCAGACCTAATTCCTACTCTTAGCTCTGCCCCCAACTCCCCCATGACTGTGGACAGTTCTCTTTCCTGTACCTCAGTTTCCCATCTATGTTTGGAATTGTTTGCATAGGGGTCTCCTGAACCCTGCCCCACCTCCTGGTGATTGCATATAAACCCCCGTGATATGATATGGAATCACCCGCCCAGAGCCCAGGGGAGACAAAGGCACGAGGCTGATCGGCTAACCTGATCCGCTTGGCCCACCCCCATGGGTTGCAGCCTCTTGGTTCCCATGGCTGGGGGAGCAGTCCAGCCCAGGTGAAGCTTTGTCTAGCCTGAGGAATGAGCAGGGTCACATCCTGATGGCTGAGCTTGAGGCAGATGGGCTGGTCTGGATGCCTGGGTCACCTGCCTAGCTGGGCTGTCCCCGATCGCTCCCTGACAGCTCTGAGGGAGCTGGGCAGAGGCGCCTGGCCCTCCCCACAGTGGCCTGAAGCAGTCCTCATCACCGCAAACTGCCAGGAATGCAGACACCGCCTCCTGCAAAATCTGCTAAATTGAGACCAGCTGTTCTCAGTGGTCTAAAAGCCAGTCACTCATGGCCAGAATCAAGTGGCCATGGCTGCTCAGAGGGACACACCGGACATCTGCCTGCCTCAGGCCACCCAGCTGTGGGTAAACTGAGGCACGGGGGCCAGACAGAGGTCTTTGGGTCTCCCCTGTCTTAAACAGCTGGAAAAGTGGGCGGAGCATGGGCTCCAAGCCATAGGAATTGGGCCAAGTGACCTTGGCAAGCTGATAGGTGCCCCACTCATACTCCAAACCTGCAAACTGAGGCCTGACTTCAGGGAGCCTCTGACTTCACCCACCAGTGCAGGTATCAACCTGCCCCCATCTCACTCCATCTCCGGAAGCTATCTGGTTCTCACCGACTTCCTGCTGCCCAAGGGTAAACGCTGGGTCCAGGAGGACCAGTGGCCATCAGGCACTGGACACAGCAAGTCTGGGTTCCAGCCTTGGTTCTGTCATTTGCAAGCTGTGTGGTCCTGGGCAGCTCTGAGCCCCGTGCAAACTGGGGCCCTTAAACCGCCTTGGCTGTGTGAGGCAGCATGCACATGCCATGCGCCTGCACAGGCGGCCAATCAACATTCAATGTTCACTCTGTGGAATTATTGTTGGAATGGGGATTCATGTACTTAAGGGGGAGGGTCGGGAGCCTGATGAGTGACCATGCTCTATCTCTTGGCTTCTCAAGCCTCAGCCTCCCCTTTTGTCAAAGGGATGGAGGGAGGCTCCAATGAGCCTACTGTAGGCAATGGAGAATTCCCCCTCCTGTCCACAAGCCCTGGGGCGACGACTACAGGTGCCTGGCTGGGGCTGGCCAGGGCTGGCTGGGCTGTCTCCTTAGCATGCCCAGGCAGGTTCCTTTCCCAGATGTCTGGTGGGAGGATGG